AGCGCCTACACATAAATTTATAGTTCTATCAGCTCACCAGCTTCAAATGTAATTAAATTTATTTAAAAGTTCATTGTATGCCGTTGCATTTAGTATTTCGATCTGGCCGATCTGAATGACTCGATTCTGGCATGCTATAATATATTTTATTATATACAGTAGGTGATGATCATCACTATAAAAAATTTTCGAAACCGTATCCCGGCTTTCTCCAGACTATCGTTTCATTATCGATTTGGAAAATGCTTATTTTTCGAAAAAAAACATACATAAATTCTTGATCATTTTCATAGAATCTTAATAAATTCCGAATAAAAATCAATTCCCGGCTTCTAATTATAATGAAGTACAAAAGATTAGAAGCAAATCTTACCCAGATTTGATTTCTACCCAAAAATTACCGGGATTCTATGGTAATGATAAAGAATTTGTATATGTTTTGTTCCGAAAAATGAGCATTTTCCAGAACTATAATGGAACGATAATCTGGAAAAGGCCAGGATACGTTTTTCTAAATTTTTTTATAGGGTAATTTATATTTCATATGCATGATGTGTATGCTACATAGCATATATGCAAAAATACCGTTCCTGATAGATCGTCACTATTCCTAATAGGGGGTCAATTAAAGCCAGATGCGTTTGGTATAAATTTGGAAATGATCTATATGCTGCACAAATTATCTTATTGATACTTATATAAACCACTCGCCATTACTGCATCAGAAAAAAGTAATGCTAACTGCATCAAAAAAGTAACTCTAACGCATCTTGCTTTAGCCATCCCCCTGATAGGGTGGAGAAAAAAATTGATTTACATACCATTCCTGATAGGGTTCTAAAAAAGGGTCTCCAAAATACTATACTAAATAATGAAAAAAAATTAGGATTAGGCTTCGTTTTTAGAACCCTATCAAGAACAGCACTCAAATAAATTTTTTTTAACTCCATCAAGATCGGTATTGCCGATCCATCTGGAATAGTATTTTTGCAATATAAGTACTAACCTTAAATATAGTATGCTATAGGCATTACGCGTTTGGCGTTGTTTTGGTTGCTGATTGGACTGTCGATCTGGTAGTTAGTTTAAAGTCAGGTGATTGGTTGATCTTGCTATCAGGAGTCAACCGTAGTACTTCAATGTCAGGTCAATTATGATTTCAGTCATTTGGTCAATTTTGGTATACAAACCTCTAAAAAGGAAATAGCCAATCAGAGAACACAAATTTTGATATTCCGGATCAGCACAATATAGAATCCGAACATGTGCAAAATAAGAAAAAAAGAAAAGAAAGTGAAAATACTCAAAAACCAGTGTTTAAATCGACTTTTGTTGACTAATAAAATATAACGGGGACGAAAAATTTTACATAAAAAAACTCCAACTTATCGCTAAAAATCCTAAACTTAAATTTTTACGCACTTGGTTTATTTACAAAATTTGACTCCTTTTTTTAGTTTGTGTTACTGCGCAAATTAGTACAGAAGATCAACTGACCGGATCAGTACGGTATAGTAATAGTAAGGGTATATAGTAAAGTAGTACAGTACGGTAATGCAGATTAGTACAGACATTAAAAAAAAATTAATAAAAAAAATTATACTCAGATGTACACATGTATAGTACATAATCAATTGCATAATTCGTATATAGTATTTATCGATAAAATCAATTACTCGTGCTATGTATATTATATGATTGATTGCATGATCCTATATTTGTCAATAAAATCTCTTTTTATAGTAACAATTAAATTCTTTATTCGATCATTGAAAACATCAATATCCTATATTTGTTGATAAAACCTCTTTATAGCAAATCAACTTCTTTATTCAATTATTGCAATATCAAATATGGACAATATAGTGGATATATCTGACATTGAAAATTTTCAATATGACCAAGTAGACCCTGAATTCGAACAAGTAAATATACGAATATTTAAAATAGTAAATACGATCTTGTTTCATAAATTTGAAATTATTATCAGGAATCAGAAGTAGAGTCGTTAGTAGACAATGAACTTTTAAATAAATTTAATTACATTTGAAGCTGGTGAGCTGATAGAACTATAAATTTATGTGTAGGCGCT